CCAATTCCAAGGTCTCCATCATCTTCGCTGTTCTCTTCTTTCTGGGCTGGTGGCAGATGACTGAGGCCCTAGGGTTTAGGAGTTGGGTCTTGGGTTTAGGGTTTAGGGTTTAGGGTTTAGGGTTTAGGGGTCATCGTCCGCCGAGTTTCTGACAAGAGCGCGGAGCCAAAAAGGTAGCCAGGCAGAGGCAGCAATGTGGCTTGTAAACGAGCCTTGAACGGCATTGCCATGAACATATATATATATATATATACATGTATGTATAGTTCTTGTTACTATACATCTAGTTCATATTTATATATGTATAAGTTTGTTATATTATGTTTTATATTAACTATACTAACTATACCAGAGCCTGGACATCCTACATCAACGGCGTGTGTGATCTCGTGAGATACGGTGGAAGTACGTGGGCTAGATGCCATCGAACACTCTCCATCGGTTGTCGTTCTGAAGACCCAATAAAGAAATTTTGCCAGGACAAGGCCGACCCTACCAAGATCACCAACACTCAGCGCATTGATGGAGCCCTGCCCACCATCAAGAAGGCTCGCCAGCGCACAGCAGCCAAGGTTGTCGATGTCAGTTGTGCTCATCGTTTGTCTTTAGCATCAGGTACCCACCACGTGACCGTCACCAATTCATGCAATCGTGCAATGGTCCGGCGTTCCTAAACCCTAGACCCCTAAACCCCTAAACCCCTAAACCCCCTAAACCCTAAGCATGCAGGTCCCGACCCCTGCAAGCCCATGCAGGTGCTGGAGAAGGGTGCCAAGTCCGTCGTCCTGGCCTCTCACCTTGGACGACCCGACGGCTCCGCGAAGGGCTGAGCGGTTGGAGCTAAGGTCTACAGATGAAAAGGTCCATGCGCTTCAGCTTTGAGGTTAAAGTCTGGAGGCTCTGAGGAGCCCTGAAGCCCACAACTTTGAGAGGCAAAGCCCGAAATCCGGTAACAATCAGGTCGTCTCGAAGTACTCCTTGGCGCCCGTGGCCAAGATCCTGGAGGAGAAGCTGGGCAAGCCAGTGGCGGACCCAGGGTCCTGTCCGTAAGCTTGTAGCGAAAATAGCGTCCCCTGAGAGACCCCTTTATTAGGTTTAGGGTTTAGGGTGCCTTTATTGGTACTGCCCAGCGCCAATCCTGCCGCCCCAGTTGCGCGGCTTTTCAAGATCGAGTGAGTCTGGGTATTGCGTATGGGAGTTGAGGGATCTAATGCACGGATTCGGGGAGAAGCATATGGCTTCGCATTAAAGAAACCCAAACCGAGTTCGCTCCAGACTCGGGTTGAGGTTATGCGATGGCTGATGGGGACCACAGAAATCGTCACGTTGGCTCGGCACTTTGAGGCTCGACTTGTGGGCACTTGCCGCCCAGGTCACGTTCTGCACCGACTGCGTCGGGCCAGCAGCTCAGGAGACTGTTTGGGCTTCAGGGACTGGGGATGAGGGTCTCGGGTTTAGGGTTTAGGGTCTCGGGAAGTAGAAGACGACAAGTACACGGTGCAAACGTAGGCTAGTAGCCGTTACACGGAGTATGGGTTGGGATTCTGCGTCAGTCTTCCAAAACACATTTTGTTTCAGGGTCGGCATTGAGGGCTCCAGGGTGGGACTCAGAAATTTACTGAGGCCGAGATTCTCCCATTGCGTGTTGGTGGCCCTGAAGTACAGGCCAGGCAGTAAACGGAAAGTTCTCGTGGTCAACAGTCGGAGCCCTGACGTGAGAACGCGCATTCCATGACAGACATCATGCTTCAAAGGACCGTTCGAGTTCTGTGGGCTGTGGGAGGTCTGCTTTATTCTTGAGGCTTTGTTGGGGGTTGTCACGGCTGGTGCCGAGCATAGAGGTCTTTACTAATTGCCACTGTAAAACCACTATTACTCCTTAGTGCTCTCAGAATGTGCCCTGAAACCCCAACACGAAAGGCCCTTTGATTGTTCGAACTGTCTGTTGTTTAGGGCGACAAGAGTTTGAAATGCCACGGCTTCAAAGCTCACCTCTGCTACTCCAGCTGCTTTGAGCTTGATACACGAAGGGGAAATTCATCAGTTTCTCACAAGAGTTGCAAAACCAAAAACCCTAAATCCCTCAAGCCCTGAACCCTAAAGACCTAAACCCTAAAACCCTACACCCCAAAACCCCTAAAACCCTAAAACCCTAGAACCCTAAAACCCTAAAACCCGAAACCCTAAACCCTAAAACCCTAGGATTCTAAAACCCCAAAACCCGAAAACTCTAACCCTAAATCCCTACAGCCCTAAACCCTAAAACCTAAAGCCCTAAAACCCCAAAGCCCTAAAACCCTAAAATCCTAAAACCCTAAAACCCGAAAACCCTAAACCCTAAAAACCCTAAAACCCTAAAACCCGAAACCCTCAAAGCCCCACAGCGCTGTGCGAGTCGAGGCCTGAGGTGGAGGCCACCTGCGCGGACCCAGCGGCCGGCAGCGTGATCCTCCTGGAGCCACCCAGCTATAGAAGCTCCTTACAAGGGCTCTATAAGGGCTACTATAAGGGTTTAGGGTTTAGGGGTCTTAATAATTAGAATAGGGCTTTGCGGTATATTATACTGTAATTATGATATGGAACCTCCAGGATCTACCAAGCTTCTTCTTCAAGGTTCCTTATTAGAACCATACTTGAAGATAAAGGAAGCTATATTGCCTGATTCAGGGTTTCAGGATGATGAGCTGGAAGGACTGTATCTAGAAAAAACACTTTTAAGACTTGGCCGCAGGACCATATCCGCGCCATTCCCTTCGTAGCTTACACAAGCTGTGCTCTCATAACCTACTCGTATCTGCCAGCCCCCAAAATATAAGTGTGTCATGGTTAGCAACAAGTACTGCCACGAAGAGTACTAAAGCAGAAAAGTAATGATGCTACAAGGACGACGGCGACGACGACTACTACTGCGACGACGGCGCGGACTTCACTCCTACTCCTGCTCCGGGTCCTACTCCTTACTCCGACTCCTACTCCTACTGCTGCCACTACATTACAACTGATACTGCTCGTACGTCTGCCAGTATAGTAATTTCACAGTACTACTACTACTACTACTACTACCACCACCACTAGTTAGCTACTACTACTACTACTACTACTACTACTACTACTACTACCACTACCACTACTACTACTAGTACTACTACTACTACTACTACTACTACTACTACTACTACTAGTACTAGTACGACGACGACCACCACAACCACCACTAAATGGCAGTACGCACAGCACTACTAAACGATCAGACT